CCCTCACCTCAACCGTCAGGTCGGAGTGGCATCTACCGCTGCTCGTGGCCCTTCCTGGGCCAGTACCTTTGGGCTCTGCTGAAGCCCACACCACTCTGTCCTGGGACATTCCCTCTGGTGACCTGTCACGCACTGTCCTGGGCTGTAAATCTGTACGGGAGGAGGGTTCTTATCTTCCTCCCTCACTCTGACTGGTGGGTTTGAACCGCTGGCCTTTTACTAGCTGTCTGACATATTACACACTTGGAGAAACAGGAGAGCAGAAGAGCTGGACACAGGACCTGACCCTGAGCCCGATTAACTGTGTGAACTCGGGAAAATGGCTGATTTCTCCAGACTCATCTATGAAGTGGGAATGTCAGTGAAGTCTCTCGGAATTAAGCAGTGAAACATATGTAAAGGGCGTGGCATGCTCGTGACATCATAGTAACAGTACTATTGCACTTGACGAAGCCGGAATTTAAAACCTTTGAAGTAAATAATCCAGATCGGAAGGCAAACAAGCAGAGTCTTAAATCTAGAGACCTGTGGGCACATGCCCCATAATTGTTGGGCAAAGGCCCAGACCTCTTACCGAAAAGGCGCGTCTGACGGCTGGCACGCTGCTGAAGGCGATGACCACGGGGACGATGTCCAGCGCGCTGAACTCCATGGTGGCTGTGGTGACCGAGTGGACATCACCTGACTGGCCTGAGCTGAAGAACGTGGCGATTCTCCTGGTGTGAGTGCCTGGGAGGGTCCGCTTGAAGACGTTCCTGGCAACGAACCTCATGGCCCTGCCAATCTCCCTGCCCTGGGAGGACCGTTCGAAGGGCAGCGCCTCGACCTCCCGGAGCAGCTGGCCCTTGGTGTAGACGTCTGAGAAGCGGATGAGGTGCCTGGCCTGGGAGTCGTAGGAGACGATGGCCACGCGCGCGCCCACTGGACAGCTGTCCTCCCGGACTCTGATGTCTGTCACGAGGGAGACGACCGCCGCCTTCATCTTCTCAAAGTCCTGCTGGGTGACATCCCGGGACTGGTCCAGTGCAAACACCAGCTCGATCGGGTGCACGGGGCACTCAGGCTTCCCTGCAAGGCAAGAGACACCTGATGCCGCCTCCCACCAGGGAGACCTCACGTGTGCCAGGGCAGAAGTGGGGTCACAGGGGGAGTCAGTGTGTGACCTCACCTATGCCAAGGTAGGAGTGGGCTCCATATGGGCCAGTGTGGGACCTCACATGTGCCAAGGCAGAAGTGGGGTTCATAGGGGGAGTCAGTGTGGGACCCTCACATGTGTCAGGGCAGAAGTGGAGTCACAGGGAGGGTCAGTGTGGGGCCTCGCCTCTGCCAAGGTAGGAATGGTCTCTATATGGGTCATTATGGGACCTCACCTATCCCAGGGTAAGAGTGGGGCCCATAGGGGGTCAGTGTGGAACCTCACGTATGTCAGGGCATGCATGGGGTCACAGGGGTCAGTGGCTGAGATTTCGGGGAGTAGATTGCTAACTCTTTCTTCTGAGGCTTCTCTGAGAGCACTAGCACCTCCCATCCTCCACTCAGCTGCAGTGTTAGTGTCCACACTGCCCCCAGACTCCAGAGAACAAAAACACAGTCCTGCTCACACAGCAGGGGGCTCGGAAGGCCCAGTGTATCGAGAGTTGTGCTGCCAGTCCTCCGGCAGGTGGTTCCAATTCCCCAGCTGTTCCTTGGGAGAAAGAATCTCTTCCCAATGAGATTACCGTCTCTGGCAACCACAGGGTCACCACAAGTCCATTCTGATAAGACAGCAATGAGCGGTTATTCTAGAGATGCCTACTTTTCAGAAAAAGGGGATACAGAAAGTAAAAGAATAAAATGTTAGCTAGTCAAGTATTTAAATAGTCAACAAACCCTAAAATGAATCTTTAAAGTTTCATTGAAATGCTCTTAAAATTGAGTTCAATTTTTAAGGATTATACAAAAGAAACTATTCTGTGATGTAATTGTTTATGAACTCTATAGGTGGCTTGGTGGCTTAGGGGATGCGCTGCTTACGCAGAGTTCAACTCCCCAGCTGCCCCACAGGATAAAGATGGGCAACCTTCTCCCAGGCGGTTCAAAGCCTCCGAAAACTGCTGGAGGATCAATTATGGGTTGGTTCTGACTCGATGGCGCACAGCAACAGGCCTGGGGAGCCCTGCTGGCATGGCGGCTGGAGGCCCAGGAGCTGAGCAAGAGATCAGCGGCTCAAATCCACCAGCCAGGCCAGTGGGGCAAGAGGGGCAGTTCATACAGACGATGGCACTGGAACCCAGCAGTGGGACAAGGGGGCAGTTCGTATAGATGACCACGCTGGAACCCAGAGGTGGGACAAGGGGGCAGTTCATATAGATGACCACGCTGGAACCCAGCAGTGGGACAAGAGGGGCAGACCATACAGACCACAGCCCTGAAACCCAGCAGTGGGACAAGGGGGCAGTTCGTATAGATGACCACCCTAGAACCCAGTGGAGCAATTCCCCCTTGTCCTATGGGGGCGCTGTGAATCGGGATGGGCTCAGTGATGGAGAGTTTGGTGGTTCGTTATAATTACCAAATTATTTCTAAAAAAACCCCAAAGCATTCACAGAGATGCTATTCTTCCTACAGAAATGTGATCTGTGCTATTATAACTTGCTGCTGCAACTTTATTCCACTGAATAAGCCTGGGACCTTGACCAGTGATTTCTCCACCCTGTGTGCTGTTCTGTGAGGTGAGGCATAGTATTGCCTACGCACAGTCCCCTTACTCAAAATCACTGCTCCACAGTCCATTTCAACTCATAGCAGCACAACTTGACAGCTGTGTGGTTGTGGGGCTGTCACGTACGACTCACAGCGGCCCTATGGACAACAGATCTGAACCCTGTCCTGTCCTGACCTCACCTCACTGACACACTGGAGCCCACTGCTGCGGTCACTGCGTCCTGACTATAACTGAACCCTGTCTTGTCCTGACCTCACCTCACTGACACACTGGGGCCCACTGCTACGGTCACTGCGTCCTGACAGTGTAACTGAGCCCTCTCCTGTGCCGCCCTCATCAACTGTGACACACTGGGGCCCACTGCTGCGGTCACAGTGTCCTGATTGTGTGACTGTTCTATTTGTGTTTTAGAGGCTGTAAATCTTAATGAGAAGACCTTGCCTCATCTGTTTTGGAGAAAGTGCAGCCAGGGCGCTCCTCAGAGGCAGAGAAGGTGGGACTCCAGGTCAGAAACTTAGTGCCTGTTGTTGGGAAGGGCCAGTCCTGGGAAAACGACGTCCTCCTGGGAAAGGTGGACGGTCAGCGAGAGAGGAAGACCCTCAACAAGACAGACTGACAAGGTGCCTATAACAACGGGCGGGGCCTGGATAGATGGTGACAACGTACAGTACAGGTCACTCTGAGGGGATTGGATGTCACCTAACAACTCCTGAGGAGCAGGTGGTGGGTTTGAACAGCTGACCTTTCAGTTAACAGTCCAACACATAACCCTCTGTGCCACGATGGCTCCTGCCCAGGTCTGTGGTGAGAATGGAATACGTACACTCAGTTAACCGTTTTGACCAGTGCCTGGTACACAGTGGGTGCCAGTAAATGTACTCACTGCTGTTCTAATAACAGTCTTTATATTAAGAAGACATTTAAATCACTAGAAGGAGAATAGTCACAGCCTTAATACATACTTTTACTTAACAGCTAAAATATGCAAGTTCACCAAATAAATGTGCCTCCTTATTTAGAGCAACTTGAATTATGCATGTGAAACTCTCACGCGAGTGTTAATTATAGGCTGTCTCTCCCTCCTCATTGAGGATAATCATTAATCCTAATCGTGGTGCCATGCATTTATCACAGCTGGTGATTTGTATTTGTTTGATTTTCTGATTAATGCTTGTTTCTCCTTTAATTTATGAATTATGATATGGGCTGTGCTTCTTGCCTTCCCAGGATATTGAAAGTCAAGGAAATGCCAAGCCAGTTGCTACTGGGTTATTCTGACTTCGGCTGACCCCTGCACCTGAACAGGCCTGCTGGTCACTGTGCTCCTGATTTGTTCTGACTTGCGCTGACCTCATGTGTCTGAACAGCCCTAGCACCAGGTGGCTGCCAGTAATTGTACTCTTTCTGAAGTCTGTGGTTGGATTTGAACCTGCAACCTTTTGGTTAGCAACCAAGTGCTTAATTGTGCCAGTGAGGGACCCCTTTCAGGGTACTGTTGTTGTGCATCGTTGAGTTGGAGCCAATCCACAGCTGACTGTCCAGCAAGTTTTCAGAGGCAATAAATCGTGTGCGAGGAGATTGCCCATCCTTCTCCCATGGGCTTGAACTGCGTACCTTTGGTTTGGCAGTGCAATTCTGTACCACTGAACCACGAGACCTCCCTTCCAGGGAATCAGTCCTGAATTAGTAGGAACTCAGGAAGTGCTGACTGGATGAGAAAGGCCAGTCTGGTGGCGGGGTCTTCAGGGAGCTGCCCTGTGCTTCTCTGGGGGTTCAAATCCACCCAGCAGTGCCTTGGAAAAGGGTGGGCAGTCTCCCCTGTGAGATGTACAGAGAGGCAGCGACAAGTCAGTTCTGATGCAACAATGAGAGGTGGGATGAGAGGGAAAGAATTCTTTAAAGCAGGCACAGGGAGAAGGAGCTCTAGGGGCCTGGTGCAAGGACCTGCACCGTCAATCCAACGTCCGGTGGTTCGAATCCACAGGCTACTCTGAGGGAAAATGATGAGCTGTCTCCTCCCAGGTGATTAAGGGTCAGCTCTGCACTGGTTACAGCACAAGGGCAGGGTGTTGGGTTTTGAGTTGGAAGAAGAACAAAGCTTTGTAACAGGGAGTGTTGGAAGTGGGGTGGCACAGGGTCCCCTTAGGAGCGCCTTTCCCTGGGACAGTTGACTCCTGCCCAGAAGCCAGCATGTCTGACACAAGTGACTCCTTCGGCTCTTCCCAGGCCAGCTGGGAAACTCACACCTGCAGGGCTTGCCCGCTGGGACAGAGCATTGTCACCTCACTGTGAGCCCAGCACCTCCTGGCCCTTGACACCAGGACGATCACAGCAAAAGGAGTTCTCACCTGGCCACTGAGAGTCAGTGTTCAAACCTTAATCATCTTGCTTATCTCAGTGGAGACGGGACTTAATCAATTGGCCTTTGAGTCAAACACAGAGCTGAGGGGATATTTGAACTGTTCTTGAAGGGGCGTCAATTTTACAATAAAAACAAAATGAGTAAAATCATGACCAGATACGCAGGGGCTCATTACTTGCTTGGGGAGCAATAGAGAAGAGAGATTCAGGTGAAAATGGGAGACAGAGGAAGTAAAAGTCACAGCCCTGCCTGAGAACAGGAACACACTTGAGGTTTTAGGAAAAAGCACTCCTAATGGCTGATCCACCCTGCAAAATACATTTTCCAGAGCCCAGGCTGCTTGAGGAACCGGAGGATCCTGAACAATGCAGGGCTGGAAGGTGGTGTCAGCCCCAGACCAGGTCTCAGGTGGCTGCGGTCCAGGCCAGCTCACCTGCACCAGGAACGCCACACAGCTCCCCACAGCCCTCCGCTGTCACTCTGGTCTCCAGGCAGTCCGCTCTCCCCATGCACAAACCACAAGCCGCAGAGTCGCTTCTGACCCACAGCGACCCTCCCTCCCTCCCTCCCTCCTTCCCTCCCTCCCTCCCATGCGTTCTGAGGCTGCACTTCTTAACAGGAAACTGCTCATCTCGGTCCTGAGGCGAGGCTGAGGGCTTTGAACCACTGACCTTGCTGTTAGAAGCCCAAAGTGTAAAACACTGCATCACCAGGGTTCCTGCCCTCCCCACTGCAGTCTAGATAACCTTCCAACAATGCCTGTCAGGCCACCTTCCTCTCCTCGGTGCTCTCAGGAAGCTCACCACTATTTGCTAATTACAATGCAACGAAAAGCCCTTCTCCTTACCCTGCCCTGTGCAGCCACGCTGGATCTGCCCCGCTTCATTTCCCATTTCCTCCCAAGCCAGCGTCTGCCCTCATCACCCGGGCTTCTGCCGGCCCCTCGGACCCACCTCACTCTGTCTGCGTCCTGGCCTTTGCCCACGTGGTCCCCCTAGCTGACCCTGCAAAGCTCCTCTAAGTGCTCCAGGTCAGACGCCATCCCTGCTGCCAGAGGCGAGCTGTCCACCCAGCAGCATCTCTGCTTTCCTGTGAGGACCCGCACTGGTGGGTCCCCTTCCACAGCCACCAGGGATCGGCTGAGCAGTGGCGGTGCCAGAGCAGTCTAAGCTCAGCTGCTGGCCGGCCGATGGGTCAAACCCACTAGGCATCCTATGGGAGAGGGACCTAGCAGTCTGCTCCCAGAGAGACTTGGAAATCCTGCGGGCACTGTCCTCTGTCATCGAGGGTCACTAGGAGGCAGCGTCCACTCGCCGGCAGTAGGGATTGTGTCAGTGGAGCGTGAGGTCGTGTAAGCTCCCCGCAGGTGATGGAAAGGTTGGACCCCTAATCCGCCCAGCAGGGGCTTAGAAGACAGGGCTGCTGACCACCTGCCTGGGTCACGGTTCTGTTCTGACATGTGTGGGGTCACCATGCGTCAGGACGAACTCGTACGTTGTTTCATGCTTATCACCTGCCCTCCCTACTGGAATAGCAGCGCCAACAGCATCTTATCCATTCTAACATACCAACCCAGTCTCCAGTGCCTGGCCCAGAGCCTCGTGCATGATTAGGAAGCCCTGGTGGCTGGACAGAGGACTATGCAGTCGACCTAAAGGCAGGTAGTTCAAATCTAACGACGGCGCTTTGGGAGAACCCCACTAAAGGGTCAGAGGCCTCTAACATTGTTGAACGCTGGACCTGCAGCACAGAGCACGGGCAGGTGACTCACACAAGGGCGTCTTGTAAGGAGCTGACTGGGCAAATACCATCAGGCTGGGAAGGGCCCAGGAGGCCCTGATGGATCTGCTGTCTTAACCACTAGACGACAAGGACCGTATAAAAACGAGGAGAGAGAAGATGGCGAGAAGGGGAGTTACTGAGACGAGAAATCTCACAGGTAGGTGACGAGAACAGCCCATAGTGACTAGGTCACTGTGAGTCGCAGGTGACTTAATGGCACATAACAACCACAACCACAAAGGTAGTCATGAAAATGCTCACAACAATAAAAAAGCAAACCAGTTGGTTGGAAATAAGTGTGACGTTCAGCTACATGGAGTGATTTATCAGGGCGGCTTCCAGGAACCAGCACTTCCAGGAAGTGTCAATAAAGTGGATAGCATCTGGGGGGCAATGGGTCGTTCTAATTCATCTTTCCAGACACACAACATTTTAGGCCTTGATTAAAACATGCTGTAAATAAAGATTACTCACCATGGCCGCCAGCTGGAGGGGAAGAAGAAAGGAGGTCAGGTTATCATGTGATGGGGAGCAGGGCTCTGTGCTGTGGGGATCGGAGAGTTACCTGGTGGGGAGCAGGGCTCTGTGCTGTGGGGATCGAGGTGTTACCTGGTGGGGAGCAGGGCTCTGTGCTGTGGGGATCG